TAGACTGGTCCAGCAAGTATGGTCTGTCCTGGGCAAGACATCTTAATTACAACAGCCCATGGCTGAACTTCTCAACTAGATTACTGCATGGGATTGCCTTTGAAGACATTTCAAAAGCTCTAAATTCAGCAATGACCGTTTAATGAAACATGATACAGTAAGTATATAAAACTAGCTGCAATATTTTTCTCGTCTTAATTGAAGGTCCTAGTCACAACATCTAAAGCCTTAAGCATCTTGGATATCAATATATGAACCTGCTCAAGGATGCTGTTAAATTTGACCCATAGTTACATCATTTAATTTGATGCAATAATTTTTCATTGTTTCATTATACTTTCAAAAACAGGCCTGCACAAAATGAGACTATGGGCTGGATGCGGCCACAAGGAGTTGATGCAGCCTGCAGGAGGATGAAGGACCAAAAGCACAGCTCCATCACCCCCTCAGCTCCATGCCCCCGGCACACAGGATTTCCTCCCACCTCCCCACTCCCTTGTCTCTGTGCCTCCAAAAAGAGAGAGAGAGAAACTAGCTAGAGGGCCTGGACTCTGGATCTTTATCTAATTTCTTGAGAGAGATGGGGCAATGGGAAAAGCCTTGTATGCCAGGAGCAGGAGGTGGCAGTGGCTGTCCATTGTTCCTGGCACATAGGGCATCTTTCTCCTGCCTCCCATCCTTTTGTCGCTATGCCTCCAGAAAGAGAAAGAATGAGAGGGAAGCCATCTGGAGTGCCTGGGCTCCACATTCCAACATAGAAAGAGAGAGGGAGAGAGAGGCCAGATCCCAGATCTGGAGTCCAGTGATAGGGTCGCTTTAGGGTTGCCCAAAGTTGGAAACAACTTGAAGGCACACAAAACAACAATCCTAATTAATCATTAATTATATCTTTACTTGGAAAGTGAGGTGCTAAAAACCTATCTAAGCTCCAATAGGTTTAGCCTATTTAATTTCAGCACCTTACTACTGCCAAGTTGTGAGATCTGTTCTAAAATGTGCACTGTTAACTGAAAAACAGAAACAATTTAAACAAGGGGGAAAGTTGCCTAAGGTATGCAAACTAATGAACAGATTGGGAAAAATGCAAAATAAGCTCCATAAATTTCATGGCAGGAAGGAAATTTAGTGCTACATAGCACCAAACAAAAGAAAACAGGAAAAATACAAGTTGGACTTGGAGAAGCCCAATGAAACTGAAACTCAACCAGCATAAAATCACCAATGTCATAGTATTGCAGCAGCAAACACAGAAATTAAATCCAACTATGAAAAATGGCAAACATCAAAATGAGGAATATCAGAAAGAAGGTCTCCCAAATCACCTTGTGGAAAAAGGTTATAGGCAAATTACATCCTGTGGATCATATGGCATTGATCTTATTCTACCACAGTTTGTTTCCAGTCTCCATTCAAAGTCATAATTACTAGTTATAAAGCCTTGAACAAGAGAGCCCAGGACATCTGTAAAAACCCTGGTTTAATACAAACATTACAATGGTGGCTGACCATCACAATGATACAACATTCTTCCTCTCTCCCATTCAAACCCCTACATCAGGGGTGGGGGACCTTTTTTCTGTCAAGGCCCTTTGGATATATATAACATCATTTGCAGACCATATCTTTAATTATTATTATGAATAAATAATTTTTAAATTATATATTTTTATAAATTATACAATTATATATTTAAAATTAAATGAAAATTCCAAAGGCTGCGTAGCACAGGAAGCTGCCTGCCCACATACATACTTACCGGCTTCAGCTCAGCAGGCAAAAACAAGAGCAAAAGAAACCTAATGTTCCTGAACAAGGAGAAGAACCTGTAAGTGGCTCAGGTCTGAATAGTACCATAACTGGCACCCAGCCCAGTGTGGCAACTCGAAGGAGCAACAGAAACCAAGTTAAGTGGGCAGACTGGAGCAGTGTTGAATCAGACCAAATAACTTCCCAGGGCAGACATTCGCCATCTTTGATCCAGCATGAGGCAAAAAAACACAGCCCTCAAGACCCCTGAACCTGGCTTAAAACCAACATTACAATGTTGGCTGATGTCACGTTGCCAGGGCTCTACCTTGTTTATGTAGAGATGAACCAAACTCCCAGTTTTATCAAACAGTTTAATTAAAACAGCAGTTACTTGCTGGCTGTTTTAATAGACCAAAATATAAAACATAAAGATAGCACTCAGCCACAGAATAAACAAAAACTGATAGCAAAAACAACTCCATAGTCAAAAGGGTCCAATTCAGTGGTCAAACGCCAAGAGTTCAATAAACAAAATCCAGGGATTCAGAGTCTATACCATAGTCAAAAGCCAGTCCAAAGGTTCAAGGTTCCAGGATTCCAAGATTACAGGAGACAGGTCAGGATACCAAAAATCAGTATCCCCCACCAAAATACAGATACTTTTCTCCCAAAGATCAGTCTCAAGGTTAGCTCCTTAAATCCAGTAACACCCAGCTGCAACCCATCTCCTGCACACCTCCACCCCTAATTGCTTTCACCTATGAACTCCCACTTACAGATTACCAAATCCTCTAGAACAGTGGTTCTCAACCTGTGGGTCCCCAGGTATTTTGGCCTTCAACTCCCAGAAATCCTAACAGCTGGTAAACTGGCTGGGATTTCTTGGAGTAGTAGGCCAAAACACCTGGGGACCCACAGGATGAGAACCACTGCTCTAGAACTAATACTCACATTAACCCTTCCATTACCAACCACCATCAACTGCAGAACATATGACAGCTGACTATCAAAATGAGAAGAGCTTTCTTCCACTCTCCTAGTCAAACCTCTACCGTCTGGTGGTGGGTGGAAGGCTGGAGCAAGGGAAAAAAAACCTATATTTCCGAGTTCCACTGATGGAAGGATGGGAACCCCACTGAGAGCACATGGTAGCCCGCTCTGCTGGGTGCAGATGCTCTTGGTAACCAGGGTTTGCCAATTACCTTCTTCAGCCTGTTTGCATCAACAATAGCCTTGGACATGGTGGGCTGAGACTAAAAATGTTGGTTGATTAGAACTGGACACAAGGAGGGTGTAAGATAAGATGCTGTACGCTATGATGTAGAATCACCTTAGTGCACATAACCAATTAACCTTGACACTGATTAAGAAACTCCTCAAAAGAATGGCACGTACTGTGAATCCAAAAAAGTAAAAATGGTTGCTCAATTCGGGATTCCATCTTTTTGGATCTCACAAGCTTGTGTTCTTTTTTTCCAACCTCTATTTTTTACTTTTCAAAATAAAACTTTTCTCTCTGAGATCAAAAAATACCTGATTGTTGCCTGCCATTTTCTCAAGCTGCACCTTTAAAGAGATTGGAGTGACACCTCTGTTTCAGCATGAGACAGCCATGCTTAAAATAAATGAATACAATCAAGTACTATATTAATCCTTAAATTACTTCAGAAACTATTAGAATGCATGTTCATCATGCACATATTATATGGACTTCCAGATTATCAGCTCTTACATTTCTACCTTCACATACTAGTAAAACAGATGTAATGCCGACAAGAAAAACTAAATTGGAAAATAGGTGCTATCCTTTCTCCAAGAAAGTAAATAACGCATACCTTGGAAGCATCTGGATATATAATAAAATCTACATGAAGAACTATTACAGGTTGAGTATCCCTTACGCTTGTCCACAGAAGAGTTTTGGGTTTTGGTCTTTTTCAGATTTTGGAATATCTGTCTTGCGCATATGTGTGTGAATGCTTTTTCTCCAGCCACGCATCTCATACACAAGTAGCATATAAACAAGGATAGCTATTTAACTAATGAATACAATAAATATATAATCAAGCCCCACTGAATCCAACTTGAGTGACTCACAGGGGAACACGCAACATTACAATGATGATTCTCTTGGTTTAAAACAAGAGAGTGAGAAAGAGAGAGGTTCTCCCTTTTGCCTGTGGCCCTCTAGATTCTCTCTTTCTCCACTAACTTTAAACAAGAAATAAGAGCCTCTGTGGCCATAAACTACAGTCACCACACTCTCTAAAGTAAGCAGCATTGCCCTATTTTCTCATCAAGTAAAGGGTGGCTCAGGAATAAGGGGACTGGAAGTTTTGCGAGTTTCATTGAGAGATGCTCTGCCCACCCTGTTCTCCCTGTGCTCACTCATGGCAGCCATTCTGAAGTGGACTCCTGGGTTCCTTCAGGGATGGAGAAGGAAGGGGGAAATGGGAGCAGCAGAAATGATAAAAAAGCGGGAAATCCTTTGCAGGTTGTGGGGAGGGCACTAATTTTCTGTCTATATGTCTCTGACATAGCACTTATCCTTGGCTCAGTGGGGAAGCTGCTCAACCCTCACCACGGTCCACTTCAATTAGTATTATGCCTGATATTACTCGAGTACAGTGTGTAAGAGAAGTCATATTGATGCATATACCACTACTGCCTCAGCTGGACAGAGACTATAGATTTGTGAAATGGTGAATCCATGCCTCCCAACATTTCAGAGATATGAGCAGGATCACCACCACCATGGAAGTAGATAGCTGATGACAAAAAGTTTCAGTTTTGAGAGGTTTGGGGGTATTGGATTTCCAGATAGTGTAGCCTCAACTTGTACTTGGTATGTTCTCCTTGTTGGATAGATTTCACTTATCTTTGCAAGCAACCATAATAATTACATAGACAAAACTAATAATTTATTTCTCTTTCCCATATCTTCTGCTCTTAATTATCATCTGGTAATATCTTCATCTTCAGCCATATGTTCTGAACGTTTGTATAACAAGGAATCTTCTATAAATATCTATAGAACAGCTACATAGATATTGCTCAACACTACATTCAACAAGGTAAGAGCAGAAACATTTTAAATGCTTGCTATTTAAATGCTTACTATTCAGAAAGTCATTTAGAATACAAATAGACGCAATGCCATTATTATGTTCTATCTGGGAAAATCAGTTTAGAAATATCAGACATCACATATCAACATATTAAATCAGTTATTAAAACAAGCCAACAGTTACCAGGAATGAATGGATCAGTATTCCTGAGTCTTCTTTTGTCAAACTATTTCCAGTATAATCCAAAGCATTATTCTCTCCTTGGTATTTACAAATATATGAACAGTTCCTTTCGATAACCGTACGAATGCCTTTAAATAGAACCACACTAGTTGTGCAACCCATTACAAAGGCACTGAAATTTGCTTCTCTAGTTCAATATTCTCTTAGCAAAATATATTCCTCTGCTTCAAAAGCATACTCTTCTTCCCCATCTTTGAAAATCCAGTAGTTAAAATCTTTTTTATATTAAATGTCAATGTACTGCAAGCTTGCTTAGCAAAATGCCAAAAATCCTGGGAGATTTCAGCAAGAGCCACACCTCACCAAGTAGTCCTCTCTCAAACAGAATGCGCTCTCAAACAGAATGCTCTCTCAAATTGTATTAATATGAATAGACAGGAACATAGTATTGGTGAAGAAAATGCCTTGATTCCTATTTGTCAAGCGTCTTCAAATCTTATCCAAGCAGACAAAGATACTGCTGCAGCTTCTACTGCCAGGCACAAAGAACTCTCATCTGCTGCAAGAAAATATTCTCCCAGAATGCTTAGCTTAGAAGTCGTACCAGTAGACGACGTTTCACTGCTGACCTAAATATGGGGGGTGGGTGGGGTGCTCTAATGCATTTTAAATGACAAGAAATGTTCTCTTTTATATAAAAACCAAGATTCACTGCTACCATGGAGACAATTTAACATGTACTACTATGCAAGTCAATTTTAAAATAATCATATATGCCTATACTGCTAATAGAAAACCACTAGAGAGCATAATATGAATTCTGCCTTCCTCACTTTTCTAGATGAAGGAAGAACTTGCAATTGTTCATAATGTGGGAAGGAAGATGAAGGACACTTCTTTTAATCTTTTAGACCTTTCAAATAAACACTGATTACTGGTTTTCACTGCCCCACTAAACTCAGTGACACTTTCAACTATGCAAGCATCTTTGCAATTGGACTGATATCATTTAAGTCCTACCACTTCATCACACTACAGAATTAATCCACTTTAAATCCAGTTGCTGCCTCCTGCAGAATTCTGGGGTTTGTAGTTTAGGGAGGAGCCTTTAAATCCAGAGGCAGAAACCGGATTTAAAGTGGATTCATTCTCTAATGTAACGAGGTCCTCAACTCACATGGGATGCAAGAAAAAATTTAAACACTGACATTTTTTTCTGAGTAAACCCACAAAGTACTGGATTGCAAAACTTGACAATAATTCTCAATAAATATCTGTGACCATACATTTTTAAAACCAATGTCCAAGACTGTTCAATTGAGAATCAAACATTTTTGCTTAAAGTATGAGGTACATAATATCCCAGTTAATAAAGTGGATGTATTCCTCGACATGACTTTTTTAACAGAAAAATTGGTTCTAGATGTAGAAATAACACAGGGAAAATAGAACAGGTGCCTATGCCAGGAAAAAAACAAAAAGCAGTCCAAAATATTTCACTAAAGTTTTTATTCAAAATTAACTGTGCATGTGAAATTAAACAATCAGAAGAAGTAAAGGTTTCCCCTTGACATTAAGCCTAGTCTTCTCAGACTCTGGGGGGTGGTGCTCATTTCCATTTCTAAGCTGAAGAGCAGGCATTGTCAGTAGATGCCTCCAAGGTCATGTGGCCAGCATGACTGCATGGAGCACCATTTCCTTCCTGCCAATCAGCACCTACTGACCTACTCACATTCGCATGTTTTCAAATTGCTAGACTGGCAGAAGCTGGGGCTAACAGTGGGAGCTCACCCCACTCCCCAGATTCGAACCGCTGACCTTTCAGTCAGCAAGTTCATCAGCTCTGCAGTTTAAGCCGCTGCATCACCAGAGGCTCCCTAAGAAGTAAATAAGGCTTACATCAATAAATAAAAACATTTTGAGACTTCTACAGACCATTTGGAAGGTTCTTCCAAAATGAATCCAGAGGGGTTTTCCTTTTTCTTTCATGATCCCCAGTTTGGTGGCCAAACGTATAGCTTACAAACATGATAGGAATAGCTGGCGAGGCAAGGCTAGTTCACTCTTCCCCTTTCACTGTTTTGCTGCCCATAGAAGCTCAGGGTAGGGTTCAAAAGGCAGTTGCCATTACTTTGCTTATTGTAGATACATACACACAACTAGTATGTTTCCCAATTTAAGCTTTATTGCACTATTTACTGCACACATGCTACTGCAATATAAACATTGAAAATCAATGTTTTAACTTTTCTTTAACATTCTCCTAATTCCAATGCTGTTAAAACTTCCAGGTAGACATAAAACAAGGAAGAATAGAGATGGGGATGGGTAGACAGAAAAAAGAAGCTTTTTGTCAAAAGCTTTGTTAACTGAGGTGTGCCTACATTAAAACTAACACATTTTGGGTTTTAGTAAAATTATTCCAAAATCCAAGTTTAAAATTGTTATGATACAGACCTCTGGTGAATGACCAAAGGTGAATCTTTTACTGTGGAAAAACAGGTGCATAATGAAGGAGATCTGAATGAATGGAAGCCATAAGGAAAGTGCCTGAATTCAGAGCACAAGAGCCAGGGCTGTCCTTGTAACATTAGCCCAACTGACTTGCTTGTCTCAATGCAAGCAAAAGATGCATGTATTGGTAAACCTTTTCCTGTATTTTAGCGTTGGAGGGAAGCATTTAAATTGGAAAATCAGTATAGAGGTGAAAATTAATTCTCCAACCATGCTACAACTTTAAGAAAACAACAACAGGAGATTCTATTGATACATTTTCTGCCATCATATCTACAGGCATAACTCAGTTAACAACATCTATCCCCAAATCTTGCACAAATAGCTGTGCTTTCAAGCAGTATCTAAATTACATGGAGGGACGTCTATTGGAAGAAGTTCCATAGTTGAGTATGCTTCCCATATTGATCTTGCTTTGTTTTGCTATCTAGTAGTGTCTTCTTAAATAAAAGGAGAGGTTCATGCATTAATCTTGTCCAGATACCAGCCATCTCTACTGGACATTAAGTCAAGAGTATACACTTCTTGATTCTAACACACATATACAAACAAACACTATCTCCTTTCAGTCTATACCCGATCAGACAATGGATACTGCTGAATGTTTGAGCTGGAGAGTCACAGAAAACTTAGTGCACTATCTGTGAAGCAAGTAAGATGTCATATACATTAGAGTCTCACTTATCCAACCTTTGCTCACCCAACGTTCTGTATTATCCAAGGTAGTCTGCCTCCTGCCTGGATCCACAGCTGTTTCAATGCATAGCAATGTTTTGGTGCTAAATTCATAAATAAAGTAATTACTACATCCCCCTCGCTGGACTGTCACCTTGTCGTGGTGAGGGGGCTTGCGTGTTCCAATGAACCTGTGGGCACAACAACTGGAGTCATGCACTCCCAGAAGTGGCCACGGGGGAGGTTCCAGACCAAGCACAGTCTGAAGACCCAAAGACCTCAACGGCGGAGCAGGCGGAGGATAACATGGTACATGTTACAACGGCTGTGAAGGCGGAAGAAGGCTGCAACAGATTGAGAAGCCACGGTCATTGTGTTAAACTACATCACCAGTGGAACCTCACTCTGTGAAGACTGTGTTGATCAGTTGTGCACTGACCTCCACACATTAAAAAAATCACACACAGGCGTCTTCCAAAGAAAATAAAAACAAACCAACAAAAGTCCCATGGCAATCAGCGAGTGGCGACGGGGGCAGGACTGTGAAATCTGGAAGCCCCTAGTCACAGACTGGCACATGGGTGATGGATACGGACTCAGTCATTCTACCTCAAGGTTGAGGCAGTTGAGTAGTTCAGCAGCTGTATCCATGACTGAGCAGCCCTTTTGAGGATCCACTCTGCTCACCCCACAAGGGGAAGGGGCTAGAAAAGGTGCCCTAAAAATAGTCTGCCTCTCCTATCCCTGACTGGACTGCCTCGTCCAGTGGGGTCACCACCCCAAGAGGAAGGCACGTCAAGCCAACCCCGACCGAGACCACCTTCCACCTAGAAACCAATGCCCTCACTGTGGGAGAAGATGCAGATCAAGAATAGGGCTCCACAGTCACCTATGGACCCACCAGAACACTGATCCTGGAAGACTATCCTACTCAGCCAATGAGGGATCGCCTAAGTAAGTAACTAAGTAATTACTACATAATGTTACTGTGTATTGAACTGCTTTTTCTGTCAATTTGTTGTAAAACATGATGTTTTGGTGCTTAATTTGTAAAATCATAATGTAATTTGACGTTTAATAGGCTTTTCCTTAATCCCTCCTTAAGCAAACATTTTTGCTTATCCAACGTTCTGCCGGTCTGTTTATGTTGCATAAGCAAGACTCTACTACAGGTTCTATCCCTTCACTTTTTTCCACCACTCTGTATTTTTCCCCTCACCACTAAGCTACAGAGAGATCTCATTCATTTGGAATCGCAAGGAACAAACAGCCACCCGAACTTCCAATGACCCTGGCATGTCCGACTTCTCACCCTTGGTCTCGCTGAAGTAAAATCTAAAGCTTAAAGCCTGAATAGCTGGTCTCGTTGAGGATTTCAAATTATGATCATTTTTATTTCTAAAACCAATGACAAGGGAAACTGTGAGAGAAATAAACAGATGCATAGGTTGAAATAAAACACAAACTTTTGCAACACTACCTGCTGAGAATCTGGGACGTGTTTTTGAATTGTGTTTTCAGTTGTTTTAACTTGAGCTTTTAAATTAATTAAACAACTGATGTAAAAATTACAATATAATAATAAAACTTTACTTATATTCTGCCCTAACTCTTCGAAGGGACTCAGGGCGGATTCCAAACATTCAATGCCTGAACATAACAATACACCCATAATAATGAGAATTGACAACCCAACATATAGATGCAGATTATAACTTAAAAAGTAAAATTAAATGAAAAATGCCACCTATTATATCAGACATCAAACAAAAGTGTAAATTTCCCAGAAATTGGGAAACAAAAGTGTTTGTTTTATCCCTGTAATCATGGTATTTCAATATGATGCAGGAATAAACCAATTTAAGTCAATTTGAAATTAAAACAATATGTTAAATTGAGTATGTTAAAGCCATATTAAACAGAGTAAGAACTGAAAACAAATTAAACCATGTGGATGTACATTTTAAAAAATAAAGTCCAAAGGCTTTAGTAAACAGCATCTTCAGCATGACACATGAGAGAAACCAATGCTGGCACCAATGAGACTTCCAAGGGGAGGGCATTTCACAATAGAAGTGCAACAGCTCAAAAGGTGCTCTGCTATGCCAGTCCACCTACAATGCTTCCACTGGAGGGAAAAAGAGTCATTCCCACTGGATTCATTAATCAGACAAATACAGATATGGAGAAAAGGGGGACACTGTTTTAATATCAAGATACCATTCCGTAAAGATTTTTCAGTAACATTACCATGACATTGAGGAAACCAGTGTGGCAAAGTTGTTCAAATCTTGGGTGTTATGACTCTGTCCTTTATCCACTTAAGAATGTTATTTCCTCCCTCTTTCCACACAGTTTTGTTAAACTTTATGATTTCAATCTGCATTCTAATT